AATGGTATGTACGGCTAGTCAGTGTGTATGCCCATTTTCTGAAAGAGTCTTGATTTGGCTAGTTCGCAGACGTATCGCCCGCTCAAGGTGAATACTGCTTGACCTGTGAATGTCTGACAACTGAGCTAGAGGTACTGGAGCTAATGAAAGCGCTTTGCGCCTGCAGTATTAGCGTTCTCGTGACAAATGATGTCATAATCGCATTCAAGGAGTCAAACTACCCCTGCAAGGTGGAGGGTGAGAGGATAGTTCTGGCAGAAAGTGAAAGAGAAAAAGAAAGTGGTGAATCCCGCGCTGCACGCTATACTGGCGCTCTTTTCCTCCCGTTTCTCGAAACAGGGTGGGTTTTACCTGCAGACACGAATACCACATCCGCTTCACGCCAGAACTCTTGGCGCCCGCGCCATCAGGCAGCAAAGCACCACGGATCACCAGATTCGCTGAAAATGAGAAGCTGCCTCGAAAGGTAGCTTAGATAACTGGATGCGAGTTCAAGGCCTATTCAGCGCGAAAACGCCAACATTACAGTTGACAATGTCAGGCGTGTTATCCGACGTTGGTCCAGGTGCCTGTAACGCAAGTGTGCCGCGTGTGCAGCCCCGCTCCTTTCAAAGCGCCACCTTAATTTCTTGACCTCTCCGCTGTGCTACTGGGATAGATCGAGATGTGGAATCTGGACTGAACACCCTTGTCCTGTACATCAAGAAATTTTCAGAAAAATGGTAGAGGGGGACGGGTCGTATTTCCCTCGCGGTTCTCCCGTGTCACATTCTATTTACCCTCCCCCCCCCCGCTTAATAGCTCTATGGAGAGGGTCGTACCAACCCCATAAAAAAGGGGGGAGGGGAAGCGATTGGAATGGACCAGAATCCCCAACTGACAATATGCCCAGTCACACTACCACGAGTGCTCCAGGATTCGCCGCTACAACCTTGTCGACATGCCCCTACTGCGATTCAAGAAAACTTCGACCGTTCACAACCTGCTTATCGATGTCCATGTTTGTAATATCGATTTACCTACGAAGATTTCTCTACGCTAGAGAGTCGTTATTTAGTTATGAGGGATAAGGGAGGGTCATTTGGACTATTTGGACTGCTGAGAGAATTGTGTGCATGGTTGATTTTGACCATTTCAAGCCTTGAAATGGGAATGTTCCTTACAATCTGAGTATCTCAAAGTTCTAAGGTATTCATAACAATTTAATAACAGAACACAGACAGAACAAAACATTAGTTTCCGTTTCGTTGGTTCTCTTTGTTTACATACAAATGAGTTTTCAAAGAAAACGTAGAAATCTGAATCTCTATCAAATAGCAAACTATTCCATCAACACATCGAACCCGTAACGGAATAACTAAAATGACTAAAAAATATAACAAACCATGAGATGACCAAATAAAATGGGACCTAAGTAGAAAACATAAGCAGTAAAAGGGAGAAAATGGTAGAGGTACACCCGAAACAGTACGAGAACAACAGCTCAAAAGCCATCGAGCGTTATGGTCAGATCACCCGCAAAAATGATGCAGGAACAATAGAGAAAGCGATCGAAAACGAGCGCCGCCATTTCGGCGCATTCTTCGATCTCAACAGATAAATAGAACAAGTCACTGAAGGAAAAGCGTAGAGGATACCCGTTCGAGAAGAGGTGATTAGACGTCGGAGAGATTCCATGACCACGTCAGTCGTAACTCATTCAAACGCTGAGTGATGTTACCATTTGTTTCCTGGCATGCAGCCAAGTACTTATTATGGGTTGAGTAGGTGTGGCCAAACAGTTTCCGAACCAATTTCTCACAGAACACCTGAAAGAGGAAAGCTTGCTCAAAGTAGGACACCTCCAGAAGCGTTACTTAATACCAGCAAACATTTAATTTGATCTTCCCGCATTCCGGGTACCAAGCAAGTAAACAACTATTCCCTTGAAGGCAGTTGGCACGATGATTTGGTGCTCGGCCCAAAATGCTAGTAGGGCGCTATATAGTGGGGAAATGGCGAAAGAACGGAGTGAAACGGTCAAAATCCTGCGAAAAAAGAGCCTCCGTTCTCACTGTGTTAGTAATCGATTTCGGACGAGTTTTCCTTAGGCTGCAGCCGTGTCTCCGGCAGCGGGGATCTTACCAATCCCCGCTGCCGGAGGCACGGCTGCATATGTGTACCCATGTGTACATGCAGCATCACGCGCATGCTTACCAATCCACTTTGTCTCATTATTTCCTTGGCAAAATGAATGATACGAGGCGTCCGAGTAACGGTCGCCCATTTGTGGGCGGACGCGGCGTGGTGGGCGTTTGGGACGTAAAGTTGTGGCTTGATAGGGCCCTTATAAGGGCACCTTCCTCGGGGAAACCGCTATGCAGCGCCTGCCCAGGTCGCGGAATTCTATCCTGCCAGGAGTATTGATCCTAGTCGCCTTGGGGAATTTATCGTGCCAACTGCCTTTAATTATTAATTTTGTAATATTCGTGTACACTTTTCAAATATTGTCGTATTCAGGACGTTAGATCAATCCCTCAGCTCTTACTCCTTGCGCTAGATAAACCAACTTTCTAAGCAAAATAACAGTAGATGCACCACAGCGGTTACGCAACTTGGTTTACAGGGTTAGAGAGGTCCTCTTTTCAACCTTTCAAAAAGGAAT